CCGGCTCCGGGCGGGGCCTTCCGCCGCCGCCTCTAGCCCCGCGGGACCCGCGCGCTACCCGCCGGCTGCCGGGCTCGGCCCATGGCCGCCCCAGCCCCCTGCTGCGACGCGACACGAGAAGGGAGTCGTCCTGCGGCGCCGGGCGGCGAAACTCCCCTCAGCAGCACGACACGGGGGCGGCCATCTTGGGAAGGCCCGGCATGCAGTGCGGCTACGGGCCGGCGCGCAGGACACGCCGCGTTCGAGCCCAGGCAGGGAGGAGAGGACCGCGGTTGCCATGGCGACCGGAGCATCCTTCCCCTCCACCGCCCTTCTACCAGCCCAGGGCTCCGCAGCACCAGAGAGCGGGGCCGGGGAGGCGGGGACACAAATTTAGAGATAGATCAACTTTCTTATATGCGTGAACTTAGCTCTTTTATACTTACATACATATATACATATATACATACATATATATATACACACACACACATATATACATTTATATATATATAAAATATATGTATGTATGTATATGTATGCATGTATGTATGACAGAGCTAAGTTTTTATATATAAAACTTTCTTTTATACATATAAACACTTATCTTTCTTTATATACATATAAAAGAAAGCTAAGTTTTTCACATTCCTGAAGCGCAGACTTTAAGAAAGCCAAAAATCCTGAGAGTTGGCAATACTGGAGCCATTGCAATAGGCTTTCAAATACAGACTTCCCCCTCCCCCCACTAGAAGCCCCCTATGCGTCCCCAGCCAGCAATGCTTCGACACAAGCGCTCCATTCAGGAACCAGGCACAGCACTGTCTATCATGCGACAGGAAGAGAAGAAAGGCACTGGGGCTGGTGGCGCAGTCACTGTTCTGCTCTCTGCCCGGCCTCAGTTTCCCCAAGTCAGCCTTCCCCACGAGTCAGTGTTTTTACGCCAGCCTCTGGAGGCAGTCAAGAGCAAGCAGCTGTCCCCCTGGGAGGCTACGATGATCTGGTGTAATTTGGAGGGAGTAATAGCCATGCGCATCTCCGGTGCTGCTCATTTGAAGACAGATTTCCTGACCCGCCAGCCGTTGAGTCCATTCATGGACTCCGCACCTCCCAAAAAGCTCAAACGCTGCAGCAGGACTGAGTGGCCTCTGGCAGAGGGGTGAATTTATCCATGTAATAAAGCAAATATGGTCCTTTATAATGGTGGGTTTAAATGCAAATGTCATGCAGCAGATACTAGTCTAGCCAACACTTTAAAGAGGGGACTCTCCCATGGATGGCTCATTGGCCTGGTTGGCAAGGATAAACTCCCAATATTTGTTATCATCAGTCATCATTTGACTGGCAGGAGCGACTGGCTTGGGAAACCAGTCAGGAACCAGACATCCTCTGTTCCAGGCACTGTACAGATACAGAAGAAAAAGACAGTTCCAACCCCACTGAAGTTACAGCTCTAGAAACCAAGACCAGTAGATATAGGTGAACAAGAGAAGGTGAAGAAGACTCAATAAAACACACACACACAGACTGAAATAATTTTTAAACAGCTTTTAATCAGCGTCCATTTGTTATGTTTCTACTCAAACATGTTCACTTTCTTTCTTACCAATGCTGTCCTTTTTTGTTTGAAAACACCAAGGATTTTCCCTTCCTCATTTTGGCTGGACCCAAAGCATGTCATGGCTGCTGCATTCATTTTGTTCTAAATTGTTTACTTCTAATGCACAATCCCTCATCTACCAAATCATCTTTGAGCACCAAGGTCTTTGATGTCATCACAGCTTTGAGAAGAGTATTAGTGTGACCAGCTACGTCTGGCTGAGGAGCTTAATTCCACACTGTTCAGGAAAGAGAAAGCAGCAATACTAGGGTTCTTATTGCTGTGTGTAAAGGCCCTATCCACCACTCATGTAAATAGCTACAGCTCCTTCCATGGATGTTGCACTGATTTACACTATTTGGGCCCATGTATCTGAGACATGATGCTAACAAATTAGGAATTAATCGTTGTTTTTTAAATTGTGTCAGGAAAACACACGGCACATCCTTGTGGGGTGAGGAGTGGAGCCTGGAGCCAAGGACCAGTAGCACTTTGAGTTTTCTGACATGGAATTTGCTTTACATAACATCAAGGGGAAATGATCAGTTTCTCAGATACAAATGGTATTTTGGAGGTGTGTAGCTGGGATTCATCATGACAATGCTTATTCACATGGGACAAAATATTGTCCAAATGCAGAGTCCAGAAGGATTCCCACCACAAGACTGGATTTTTGTGATGAAACCAGAAGGTCCCTGCAATTGTAGAAATGAGGGACTTTTTAAAGCCTTGGTTTTTTATAAGCTATGCACCAAAAAGAGTGGGTTTGCTCCCTAAACAGACCCCTTTCAGTGGGAGCAGGGTGCATTTTGAAGTGTAGTTTAGATTTACAATACCCAAAGATTTAAGCTCATGCATTAATATTGCTCCTGAGATGGCTGACTGGGTTGGAATACATTCATATGGTCCAGGCTTCTGCAATGCACAGTGCAGAAAATAACATAATGAAACAGTTGAACGTTCAAAAGAAGGCAAGCCTACGATCATGCCTTGGGCTGTGGAAGGAAAGAGTAAGACCTTGAGGTCTCCTTTGTTCTCAGGATGGGTGTGAGGGAAAGAAACAGAAACTACAGAAATTCTAATAAATCTGCCAAACTGATAAACCGGCTGTCAGCTCACAGGGCCTTTAAGTCACTCCTGGTCATTGTCCTGCCAAGATGCATTTTCAGTCTGAGCCTCTTTGGCAGCAGCTGTTTGATGCAATGCCCTCCTCATTCCTCCCGTGATATTGCTTCCTGGAACACAGAGTACACAGGCTCGATGATTGCCATGGGGGCCCTGGGAGCAAACACAAACACAGCACATGATTTACTTGAGTCTTGCCTGGGCACTAATCCCACAGCAGACCAAACCTTCCTGACCAGCTGCCCTCCCACCAGATATTCCTGATGATCTTTACCTTAATGCAAGTTTTAAAAGTTAAACCCGTAATTTCAAGTCATTAGCCTTGACTAGTTTCACACCAGCATCCCCCTGTCAGGCCCCATTCTCCTTTGCCCTACACCACTGCAGTGAGAATGCACACGACATGAATCTGATCTGACAGCATTTTGCACCTGTTACATTCCCTTTGCACCAATGCAAATAATTGCATAAAGTACAGGGGAATGGAGACAGTGGCCCACTGTCTTCAGCAGAGTTCCTCTTGATTTACACCAGTAAATATGAGAGGAAAACCAGGTGGAGAGTTTCAAAACTGCTCCTTCTTCATCATCAGCTTGACTGTACTCAAAACTCAAAATAAAGAATGGGGCTATTCAGCCCTGATTATTGGAGTGTTTTCCCTGGGTGGCAGTTCAATCAAAGTGCACCCAGGTTTGCATCCGAGTTGTATCCATCTGCATAATTTGATATATGAAGCCATATGCACTTTGCCTACAATTCCAAGTGTATTTGCAGTCATCAAATACAATTTTTAAAAGATAAAGCATCATCTTGCCCTCAACTGGCTGGAACAAAAACATTCCCTAAAAAACTTAGGTCCTTGGGGTTTTTAAAGGGGGAGATTTATTGCTTTGATTAATTGGCTTTCTGAGTTCATTCAGTTGTTTATGACTATTTAATGCTGGTTTGTGGTCATGATGCAATTGAAAGACTAATTAATTGTCAGGGCACGATGAGACGTTATGTTTGCATTTTTATTGTCATTTAAATCAGAACCCAGTGTGGCCAGATTACCTTCCGTCATAATACAATTGCAGGCAGTAGGGTAACCGTCTCAACACAGTACCTGAAAAATCACAACTAGAACACCCAGCGCAACTAATCCACCTCAGGCAAAAAGCCTGAATGAACAGATGGGCTGTGCACTGTGCCCTGAAGGTTAATAATCCGAAATCCTGACAGCCTGTTCAGGGAGCATATCCCAAAGTCAATGACTCTGCAGAGAGCTCTTTGTCATCTGCTCCCATTCATGCAGGGAAAGCTGGCCTCCAAAGAGCACAACTGCCAGAGGGGCAGACAGCATGCAGGGAGGCCCCTCTGGCACCTCTGCCACACCAGGATCTTAAAAGAAATGATGGTTTACCGGGATGCCACCTACTTTCCTCTGCAGCCTGAGCAGCTTGTTCATGGCAGGGGCTCCGTGGACCCCTTCTTTCCCCAGCCCTCGGTGTG